ATAAGGGAACATCAACCCTAAAACAAGGTGATAGGGGCCTACTCTGGATCCTACTGTTGATGCACAAAATCCTGCATGACCTTAAGGACCCTAAACTATGGGAATTATGGTATCTTCCTTATAGTGGGTCATGCAGGATTTTGTCCATCAACAGTATGATGCTGGTAACTACTCCATCAACAGTAGTGAACAGCTTTTTTTCGGCAGAAGCCGCCGGCCCAGCTTGGCCTCAACAGATTCTGCGATTTTTTCTGGGGGGTGTAGGGTTTATTGGTTTAGGGGTTTATGGGTTTATGGGTTCATGGGTTTATGGGTTTAGGGGTTTAGGGTTCATGGGTTTGGGGTTCATGGGTTTGGGGTTCATGGGTTTAGGGTTCATGGGTTGAGGGTTTATGGGTTTAGGGGTCTAGGGGGTCTGTAGGAAAGAGTGTGAGCGCTTGATTTAGTTACAAGGGTCTCTAGAGGGGTTTGGGCTTTTGTGTTCAGGATCGCTTCCTGGGAAGGTCTGTAGAGGGGTGCCTCTAAGCTCTGAGGAAGGGGTTCGGGCTGTCTTGTCTTGTCAGGGTTTAGAGTTTAGGGTTTTAGGGTTTAGGGTTTAGGGTTTAGGGCTAGGGTTTTAGGGTTTAGGGTTTAGATGTTTGCAAAGGTTTCCATGAAGGATCTGTAGATAAGGGCATAGTGCCTACTCTCAGATTATGGGTCACGGTCAAGGCCAACCCCTAAACCCTAAGGCCCTGTTCAAACCCTTTACCCGCAAACCTAAGCTTTTACAGAGCTGCGCCATTTAAAGCGCTGCCTCTCAAGGCCCAAAACCCCCAACCCCCAAACCTTAAACCCGCGTAAACCCTAAACTCCCAAAAACTCACTTTTCAAGCCCGGAGAACCCTAAACCCGAAACCGCCAAGAACTCACGCTTCCCTAGGGCTCCAGTTTCCTAAATTGTAAGTTACTGGGCTATATCATATCCGACTCGTAACCTACTGCATAGGTCACTGGAGCCCGAGGGCTCTTCAAGCCCGAACTTCGCCTCTTGTCGGATGTGCGTTGTTGCCGCCTCACCCTTCCGGCACAGCAGCTCATTCATGCCTGAGGAGCCCCGTGCCCGTGCCTATAGGATCATACCCTAGCCCTCTTTTAAGGCACCTACTTTTCTATACAGAAGATCCTAACCATATAACTAGGTATCTCAAAAAAGGGGCAGAGCATGACCCTCTAGGTAGGGTTTCAGGGGAAGTGCTTGGGGGCTAGGGTTTAAGAGTGTAGGGCTATGTGAAAGGCATCCTCGAGAGGTTACTAGAGGGGCCGTGATGATTGGAAAAGGCTTTCGGTCTACGTTCTACTATAAACCCAACAAGGAAGCGCAGGGAATACTTTCAAGTAACTGTTCAATTGAAACAGGTTGTTTTATGGGGAGGAATGCTCACTCCCTAAACCCTCAACCCTAAACCCCTAAACCCCACGTAAATACCATGCCCCAGAAATCTGCTGTCTAGTTCACTGGGCTCTTGAAGTCCTTTGGCTCAAACCAAAACCCCTAAACCCCCATTTACAAATGTGACGTCTTAAACAACCTCACCGTAACCATATTTCCCCTAGGCCCTATACCCTAGCCCTAATTGGTGTAGGTAAAGCGACCCATTATCACAAGCTCTCCCCAGATGCTAATCGTAGAACTTCTCTCCTGAACCCAAGTAAATACGTAATGGGCCCTCCAGGCCCTTAAAAGCTCATTAAAACCATCAAAACAAACTCCCAACACCAAAACCTAAACTCCAAATGATCACAAACCATAAACCATAACCCCAAATCCCCAAACCCAAAACCCTATCCCTCCAAGGACCTCATAGTTAGGGCCCTAGACCCCTTAAGGACCCCATAATAAGGTCCCTGGAGGGATAGGGAAAACACGACAACACCCGAAACAGAAGGCCTGGCAACACCTTCCAGCGCCCGGCGCCCTCGGCCAATGTCACGGCCACGGCGAAGGTCACTGCGTTGCCTCCACACAAACAATAAAGCTCCTAGGGTTAGGGGTTAGGGTTTAGGGTTTAGGGTTTCGGGTTTAGGGTTCAGGGTTTAGGGTTCAGTTGCTCAAATAGTAGGTTACCAGCCATATATTATCTCCCCCAGTAACCTGCTATTTTAGGTAACTGGAGCCCTCGGGGAATGTCGGCTTCGGGTGATACGGTACAGAGGGTACACAGCACATATGGGGTATACAGAGTATACAGGGTTATACCCGTATCCCCAAACCCTCCAAAATAGTAGGTTATGACCCCTTAATCAGAGGGTATAACCCTAAAACAGTAGGTTTTGGATCCCCAGGTAGGATTTAAGGTTATACAGTAAACCCCATAAAGTTGGAAACCGGATTAAGGCCAAATAGTGCTGGGATTCCCTATACATTACTCTTAAGGATTGAGGCCATGGGGTTTACAACTTTTTGGCTTCTGCTGTAGACCCCCAACTACCTTCTATCATGACCTACATACTACATACATATACGCAGGGCAAAAGACCATAGGGTGTTTCCAACTCATGAGCTTCTACTGTATACCACGGTGGGGCTTCAGGCCTAGAGTTGCGGATTTGTAGACTTTGTGTTGTTGGTTTGTGCGGATGCAGCTCCTTTAAAGGGATCTATTAGGGTTCCTTTAAGGGTTCCTTTAAGGGTTCTTTTCAGGGATCTATGCGGTTTAGGTTTTAGGGTGGCTGTACCAGCGTGGCATTCGGGTTTAGCAGCTCCTCGAAGCATTATGAGGTGCATACCGGGGATACATGATCTTCAAAATCCCTTTTTTGCACGACCCTACTATTTGGCATCTTTCTTGAATTGTCCTCTTTTCTAGCAACTACATTCGAATAGTCATGCAGCACGCCCTAAACCGTAAATCCTCAACCCCTTACTTACATAACCCTAAACCTCTAAACCCTGATCAAGGACCCTAACCCAAACGGTCCTATGTACTGTTATGGGGGATACTTCCCTGAGTCATTATAGTAATTCCTAATATGGAAACCCTACATTCTACTTTATCGGTACATAGGACCCTTTGGGTAAGAGGGACTCTATTGAATTGCAAAGGAACGCCTGGTCACAAAAGTCGGTGTGGTCTCATCATGCGTCACAGTTCAGGCTTATCACAAAGGGTCCAAAGTACATACATATATATATATATATATATGTATATATATATATATATATATATATGTGCATAGTATATATATATATATGTGTGAGTGTATATATATATATATATATATACACACCATAAATATAACAGAATATAGGGCCTCTACATTAGGAATTGCGAGTGTTATTTGGGGAAGTATCCCCACAACAGTACCTGGGACCCTTGGGGTATGTAAACAGTATCTCTTCGCGTTATGGTTTCTTGATGCGCGCAAAGGCCTGAACACTGCGTGTAGCTACTTGGAGTTCTGCACTGACATACATGCCGATTTTCGTGAAACCGAAAGGGAAAGCCACCACGAGATAGAGAGGAGGAGAGAGAAAGAGAAAGAGAGAGAGAGAGAGAGAGAGAGAGAGAAAAAAAAAAAGCGTGAGGCAGAAAGAACACGATCAACTCAGATAGAGGGCTGATATACCCAAAGGGTCCAAGTATCATTATGGTATATACATATAGGGAATTTTGGGGGTCTAAGTATATACCATAATGATACGTGGACCCTTTGGGATAGATTGATTGAACCTCTCTTGCGCACACAAGCTTTAATATCAACAAAGTGTGATTAGTGTGATGAGGCGACCTTGTGTTTGCGCTGTATGGTTGGTGGCGTACGGCATGCCTTAAAAAAGCTAGGTTTGTAAGGTAGGGCATTGGTTGAGCCTAGGAATGTTCTGGGCACGTAAGGGGGGTTTTAACATGGGATATCACAACCCTACGTTTTGCTTGTGTCCTTTTTTGGGGGCCCTTGCTCCTAAACCCTAAAACCCTACACGCTAAACCCTAAACCCAACCCTAAACCCTAAAACCCTAAAAACTAAAACCCTAAAACCCTAAACCCTAAAGCCCAAAGCCTAAAGCCTGAACCCTAAAGCCTAAACCCCAAGCCGTGCAACCCCCGGGATCCTTTTGCTCGACTTGGCCAAGCTTGCGAACTCTCGGACCCTAATTTCGGGTCCCTTTAAAAGTTTATTCGGGTTCCTTTAGAGGGCTCTATAAGGGGCTTAGAGGATTCTATAGTAGGGTTTTAAGGGTCCAACGGACCTAATAATCAGGTACTTGGGTTTTGGGTAGTAGTTTTGTAGGTTACCATTTCGGAGAGTATATGATTATTAGGTACTTGGACCCTTAGGGTGACCGATTCGGAATCGGCAACGCAGAGACTCAGAGACTCACCTAAATCCTTCATTTGAGGTGCTACGTCCTATGAATTCGGAAGGCGTCCAGAACCCTAAACCACCAACCTACGTACTGCGCGGCAAACGAGATGCTGTAACCCTTGCACGGTGGGGACCCTTCCGTTCCCTCCCGAAAGCGACATACGTGACACTTCACATGTTCCCAAGCTTCGAAGCCTCACCTAATAAGCCCGACCCCCAATTTTTTTTGGGAGGTCATAAAGACAATATAAACCAGCGACATTTCCCGAGAAACACATGCCCCTTATAGACTGGATACACCTTAAATCACACTCACTCCCCTGTGTTTGTTTCATGGTCTAGTCCTCAACTGAAGGATTGTGGCGTCCCCGGTCTCCTTTCAAAAGTAGAGCTTCCCCAGCCCTGAAACCTGAACCCTACCAGGACCCCCCAAGTCCTCCTTAATGGAGACCCTATGGTCTTTTGCCCTGCGTATATGCATGTAGGTCATGATAGAAGGTAGTTGGGGGTCTACAGCAGAAGCCAAAAAGTTGGAAACCCCATGGCTTCAATCCTTAAGAGTAATGTATAGGGAATCCCAGCACAATTTGGCCTTAGTCCGGTTTCCAACTTTATGGGGTTTACTGATACTGTAAACCCGAGGCCCGAGTCATCAGCTGCTCTTCAAAGAATGGCACAGCAGTGGAGCGCTGCTCAATAGTTCCGGCACCAACTGCCATGTCCTGAGCACATGGGGGCTTAGGGTTTGCCTGGTTTAGGATTGAGGGCTCAGGGTTTCGGAGTTAGGGTTTAGGGCTGTTTTTTTGCAGGGTTCTGTGTTATGATGTCCTTCGGGTAAGTTACATAAACTTGAGGTAGGGTTGTATTCGGGGTGGGGGTGTTTCTGTTCTCAGGTCCCGAATAGGCTGAAGGCACATGATCATAAGGTCCCCGTACTCGGGTTCCAAGGCCATTGCAAAAGGGATTCGGGAAAAGCTTAGGTGTAAGATCGCTGTGTTTCTGTGGTCGCTTATGCCCCTGATTTCTTTGTGATGTAACTGTGCTGGTACACTGAAAAGCACATTGCTGAATACTGTCCTGAGAACTAACTAAGAGAAACACGTGACCCGAAAACTAACTTTAAGCCCCGTAAACACTTGCCAAAATCCGAAACCCTGCGCACCTATCCTCCTGTTTCGGAAATGCCCAGGGGCTCTAAACCCCGACAGTATCCCCAAAGCCCTAACCCCTAAACCTCAATCCCGAAGCCCTGTATCCCCACACCCGAAATGCGTTTTTGGGAGTTTCTGAAATTCTGAGATAGGAGACCCTAATATAGTACCCTAGATAGTAGGATCCTTACTATCAGGAGCCCGCAATAAGGTACCCCTACTTGTCGGAAGCTCCCATTCCTCAGTCTTAAACCCTAAACCCCCAACAACACATCCCTATAGTTTCTGATCTTGCAACCTCTTCTAGAAAGATCTGGGTCCCAATAACACTCCCAAACTCTACCTTAACCTACCATAACCTACTTCTTGGGGCTTCCTATTCGGAACCTTAATCTAGAATTGGTAGGGACCCTGCAAAAAAAGTAGGTTTGGGTAGTTCCAGTAGACCCTAAATCCTTAAGGTCCTTTCTTTCCTCCTCGTAACCCTCAGCTCTAGCCCTAAACCCTAACTAAACCCCGAACCCAAATCCTCAATCCTAGCATGAAAGCCAAACCATAAACCCATTGGGCCTTTCTTTTACTTCCCCGAAAAGCCAAAGACGTAAGAGCTTAAACTTTCAGAAGATGTTAAAGGCTTGCTATGGGAGGTTTAAGTTAAAGGAACCCTAGGTAGATCCCTTATAGATCCCTTTAAAGGAACCCTTATAGATCCCACAGACCTAAGTCCTTTCTTTCCTCCGCGAAGGGTCCAAGTACCTAATAATCATATACTCTCCAAAATCCTAACCTACATAACTACTGTCCCAAACCGAAGTACCCTGCTATTGGGTCCCACCCTTAAAACCCTACTATAAAAATCTTCTAAGCCCCTTATAGAGCCCTCTAAAGGAACCCTAATTTACCTTAGAAAGGGACTCCTATTCTTGGGTCCTTTAAAGGAACCCTTAGGGGAACCCTAAACCCTAAACCCTAACCCCTAAACCCGAACACCTAAACCCTAAACCCAAAACCCTAAACCCTAAACCCGAACCCCTAAACCCTAAACCCAAAACCCTGAACCCTAAACCCATAAAGCCCTAACCCCTAAACCCTAAACCCTAACCCCTTATAAACCCTAACCCCTAAACCCTAAACCCTAATTAAACCCTAACCCCTAAACCCTGAACCCTGAACCCTAAACCCTAACTCCTAAACCCTAACCCCTAAACCCAAAACCCAAAACCCTAACCCCTAAACCCTAACCCCTAAACCCTAACCCCTAAACCCTAACCCCTAAACCCTAACCCCTAAACCCTAACCCGCAAACCGTAACCCCTAAACCCCTGGGCTCTTTTTGAAAAGGGCCGAGGAGCCCGGAACCCTCGAGGCTCCGGAGGCCTTCGTCGAGGCTGAAGGCATCCGGAGCCACCTCTCTCTTTGGGTTTTAGGGATTTAGGGTTTAAGGGTTTAAGGGTTTAGGGTTTAGGGTTTAAGGGTTTAGGGTTTAGGATTTAAGGGTTTAGGGTTTAGGGTTTAGGGTTTATGACTCTCTCTCTCTCTCTCTCTCTGACTCTCTCTCTCTCTCTCTCTCTCTCTCTCTCTCGGTATCTCTCTCTATATTTTGTCTATCTATTTCGCTTTCTGTCTCTGTCTCTGTTTCTCTCTGCGTTTTTTCGGATTAGGGTTTAGGGTTTTAGGGTGTAGGGTTTACGGGTTTACGGTTTTAAAATTTTATGAGGGTTTAGGGTTTTAGGGTTTAGGGTTTTGGGGTTTTAGGGCTCTAGGGTTTTAGGGTTTAGGGTTTTAGGGGTTAGGGTTTTAGGGTTTAAGGTTTTAAGGTTTGGAGTTTTAGGGTTTCAGGGTTTTGGGGTTTTGAATTAGCTTTGTATGTTTAGCGGTTTCGGGTTTAGGATCTAGGGGCTTTTCGGGCTTCACGGGTTTGGGGTTTACAGGTGTTCTGGGGGGATGTGAGGTTATGGCTATAAGCCCCGCCTCTCTCTCTCTCTCTCTATCTTTCTTTCTCTCTCTCTCTCTCTCTCTCTCTCTCTCTCTGTCTTTCTCTCTATCTCTCTACAAATCAACAAGTGAACAGATGAATAATCATTGTCTGGATAACATGTAAAAGTCTGTTTGAGTACATGATTCCTTTCGGGGTCTTACCTAGAGCCCTAAAACCCTAAACCCTAAGCCCTCAAACCCTAAACCCTAAAACCCTAAACTCTAAACCCTAAAACCCTAAACCCTAAACCCTGAAACCCTAAAACCCTAAACCCTTAAACCCTAAAACCCTAAACCCGAAAAGCCTAAAACCTGAAACCTAAAACCCTGAACCCTGAGCTGGACATTATCTGTTTCGGTGCCTTCAGCGCAGGCATCTGTGCGAGGAGGTACCTCGGATATGTCAGAATGACAAACTGCAGGTGCAGAGTCTTTAGGAGGTACAGGCTTTTCAGTAGGGGGGGGGGGGGCTTTGGGTTCTGGACTTCCTGAATCCTACACCCCACACCCTAAAATTTCATGAATGTAATCTGCGTCACAGCATACAGAAACTCAAACCCCCTCGGCAGATACTAGTTACTTTTTGTTGGCAAGATCCCGAGACAATAAGAGGATACTAGAGGGGCCTTAAGAATTAGAATAGGGTCTTGGGGCCCATTACTGTATACTATAATTCTAGTGAGGAACCACCAAAATAGTATACTTCTTCGGCGGACTTTGGGGCCCCGTAGGCCGCGTCCACAAAATAGTATAGGTAATTATAGAGGCCGCTACATGACTGTGCTTCAGCCCCTAAGGACGGAAGGTAGCCCTGAACGGGTCTAAGGTTTACCACCCCAGCAAGGAGACCTGCCCCTTTTGTTGACTTCTACCGGGAAAGCGTAGCTAATAAGGAACCATACAAATGTCGGTTATATAGGGTTCAGGCAGCTGGACATAAGATATCATTTGTTGGGAGGACCCATACACCATACATCACACACACACACACGGTTTAGAGTTTTGTCATTGCCGCTGACTTCACCGAGTTGCATGGCCCCTTGCCACTGCACGGCTCCGGCACAGGCTGCCAAGGCCGCGTTGAAGCTTACGGTGGTGGGGCTGGGGCCAACCTCTCAGGGGATCCTGAATCCCTCAAGCCCAAAATCCCGAAACCCTAACCTAAATGCCTTAACCCCCCAAAAACCTGAACCTTAAGTGTCGAAAGGGCCGAATAACTATAATTAGGAATTCAGAGTTCTTGTGAGGATCCTACCAAGGATTGTGAGTGCTTTGAAGGGTTCCTAATTTCGTACTGGACCCTCAAGAAGGGCTTTAATTACAAAAGAAGAGGGCTTGAGGGTGTATTGTAGCAATTCCTAAGTAATATCTCCCGTGTATCAAACACTGAGGTTTTTTCGCTGACCATCTAAACCCTTTCAGCTTTCAACCCACTCAGCAACGAAATTTAAGACTAAGCTAAGCCGGCCTCGACAATGTTGGCGAAGAGGTGCAATGCCGTCTGCCACTGCAGAGCTTGTACACATGCAGAAATGGCAGCATTGATGCTGATCCTGGGCATTCAAGGGGTCGATCACACCCCGCAGTGTTCTTAGACCCCCCCCAAGTACCCTCTAATATGCCATAAATGCCCACTATTACGGACCATAAGGGCTCCATTAAAGGGCCATTGGGTGGTGAACGGCTCCAGCCATCTCCTCCTAAGAGGGTCCAAGTACAAAATCATCATATACTCTCCAAAATAGTAGCCTACATAACTACTATCCTAAACCCCAGTACCTAATAAATTGTTGGGTCTTGTGGACCCTTAGGGCAAACCCTACCTATAGTCTCCATTGTAGTTCCTTTTTTTGGTTATCCAATTTTATGGCTAGGACCCTATAATAGAGATTTTGGTTAACCAAATAAGGAACTACAATGGACACTATAGGTAGACCCTGTTGTTCCCCATAAGCCGGGCCAGGCTGCACACTCGGTGCAATCTCTAAGACGGCGATGCCTAGAAGCAGCGCCAGAGCGGCCTCCCACTGTTTGGCCTTCGCATACTTCATCTTGAGCTCTTCGTTTTTTTTTTTGGGGGGGGGCTTGGGGGGTTTAGGGGTTTTAGGGCTTTAGGGTTTAGGATTTTAGGGGTTAGGGTTTAGTCGGGGGTTTAGGATTTTAGGGGTTTTAGGGGGTTTTAGTGGTTTTTGGAGGTTTCAGGGTTTAGGCTTTTAGGGATTGGAGTTTAGTCTGGAGCTCTTCTTCCGCAGGTTTGGGGTATAGGTTCGTCTTCGGGTCCTTAGGGTTTTGGGTTTAGGGTTTTCCTTCTCAGCTGTTGTCTAGAAGTTGCTCTAGATGCCGGTAGGCTCAATAATGGCTTGCTGTACAATGCTGCTACAATAGTTTATGCAATGATAACTGTCACTATTCAAGGGCACCCCTTTTGACACTGTGTATAGGAACCTAAGCCCGCAACAAAAAACTCCAAACTCCAAACCCCTGTACCCTGTTGCCCTAGAAAGCCATCCAAGATCCTCTACTTGAGGCCCTCAAGAGCGTTTCAAAGCCTTGAGCCCAACCTGCGCGCGCTATAATGGCAAACTAGAGTTCTGAAGTCTGCTGTTCTGTAAATAACTTGGCCAAAAACAGGGTTCCTACACCGATGTACATACCCCCACGGGTCCAAGTGCCGAGTTGACTCTCCCAAGTATTAGGCCACAAAGCTACTATCCTAAACTCAAGTACCTACTTGTTAGGTCCCTGGCACTCCTCGGGTACCAGAAAAGTACATGGGTAGAACTCTTAGCTATTTGAGGGGACCTGCAAAAGGAATCTAATTTAGCGAACTACCCATGTACCCATATGTTACCCAACATAGTGCCCTTAAACCTGAAAGGGGCCCCAATTTAGAAAACTACCCACCTTGCATGGACCTTTCAGGGCTTCATTGTCTAACCGGCTCGGCCTTCTCGCAGGCGCTGATGGCGGCGCTGAAAGAAATGACCTTGTCTGGAGCTTGGTGGCTTTTGGGGCTTATGGTTTGCAAGGTTTTGCGGCTGAAGGTTTAGGGTCTTGGGGTTTACCACTATGGGCTATTAGACCCTAAAGATCCCTATTCGGACCCTATTAAGGGTAGATTAAGGTACCCATAAGGTCTAATAGCCCATAGTGGTAAGGGCATCGGGGTTGAGGGTTTAGACTTGATCCAGGGGTTGGGGTTTGACGGCGTTCAAGGCTTCAAGGGCCTTTGGTAGTTCGGCTTCAGTGCTGACGGTTTCAGGACGTTGGGTTCATGGCACTCCCCTTGCTAGACCCCCCAACTACCCTCTAGCAGGCCCTAAAAACCCACTATTCAGGCCCATAAGGTCTCCATTAAAGGGCCGTTGGGGGTCCTGGTTCAAAAGATTACATTTAAGGTTTGGGGTAGAGGTTCAGGTCTAGTGATCTTTGGGGCTAGGGCTGCTAAGGGTGATTTCGATCCCAGGATTTCAATGCTGTCGCACCCAACACCCTACTTAAAGGATCATGGGACTTAGTAAGTAGGGTTATAGGTACCTTATAATTGGGGTTATAAGTAATTATAAGTACAGTTACCCTAATTATAACCCTAGTTACTAAGTCCCGTGATCCTTTAAGTAGACCAACCCTGAACCCTACTTGGAGGGTTGGGGGGGGGACGCAGTAACCAAGTCGGTAAGAAGCAAACTTGGAAGTGCCCAGAACGGGATGACCCTAACTGGGGTCATGAAGGGACACTGCTATAGGGTCAGCACGGACCACATGTTACTTCTGCAGGAGCATTAGGGGCAAGGCCACTCAACGGTTACCTGTATCCCCGAACCCCAAATAGAATAGTAGGTTATGACCCCTTAGTTACAGGGTATAACCATAAAAAAAACAGTAGGTTTTTGGAACCCAGGATTATCCTAAACCCTGAACCGTGGCCATTAGGGGCAAAGCCACCCAACCGTTAGGACCAAGTAACATTGGGAGTCACATCGCACGCCACCATGGCAGAAAGGAGCTCCAGTCCAAGCTTCCACTGGAGTGCCTTCTCACCTCGGTTTAGGGTTTGGGGTTTAGGGTGTACGGGTTTAGGGGTTTAGGGCTTAGCGGTCTAGGGTTTAGGGTCGAGGACAAAATCGTCTACCCGAAAAGGACTTGAGGTGCAACTATTCTATTCACATAGAGGGGTTCATTGCATACGGAGAAAGGGTCCCAACTTGTCAGGGTCGTTTGGTCCCTATAAGCCTTAAACCCTGCACTCTACATCATAATCCTAAACCCTAAATGGCCTTAAATCCTGAACTCTACACAATAACCCTAAACCCTGAACTCTCCATGATCGCCCTAAACCCGAAATCTCATTTGGGTCCTCAAGGCACATGCGCTGATGGCTGCGTTGTAGGAGATGACGTTCGCCTCAATGCCCCTCGATAGAAGGTCGGAGAGAAGTTGGACAGCCTGTTGCCACGCCAGCCTGTTTTGGGTTTAGGGTTTAGGGCTTAGGGTTTAGGGTTTTATACGGTTTAATTACAGGGTTTGGGGTTTTGAGTTCTTTGATTCTGCTCCATCAGCATTATCCCTGAAGGTCAAACTGGCCCAAAAGCCTTGTATAATATGGTCTTGCGGTCCAAACCCTGAGGGTCCAAGTACCTCATCAACATTATCATGTACTCTCCGAAATGGTCACCTACAAAACTACTACCCTAAAGCCAAGTACCTGATTATTGGGTCCTTTGGACCCTTACTACAGGATCCTCTAAACCCCTTATAGAGCCCTCTAAAGGAACCCGAATAAACCTTTAAAGGGACCCGAATTACGGAAAAGCCTTACGACATGAGTCCTCTGAGCTTCAGCCTAAACTCTTGAAGCTGAAAGCCATGAGGGTTTGGTCAAGAGTCAAACTGCAGAGCTTAGGGTTTAGAGTTTAGGGTTTATAATAGGGTTTAGGGAAGTTTAGGGTTTAGGGTTTAGACTACAGGGCTTAGGGCTTACCTCAGAGTCGCCAGTGCACCTCAGACAAGAACGACAAACCTACGAATTCAACACAACCTGGATCTTAACCCTGAAGCCTATCAACCCTGGTGCAGTGCTTCTAGGCCAACCTTGCCTCCGAACCCCTGCCAAGACCCGACATCAAAACCCTGAGCCCAAACCACGAAATCCTGAACCTTGAACCCTAAATCCTCCAGTAATTCCTTTTGCGATAGCCTGTACCTTTATAGCAGCCCGCCTTTGTAGAACCCTAAACCCAAAATCCTACTTCCAACCTCTTCTCACAGGCACTGATGGCGGCGTTGAAGCTGGTACTACCAGCTTCAACTCGCGAGCACGTCATCTCCTTCCTGAGAATTTGAAGGGTCCCAAGGACCCAATAATCAGGTACTCGACTTTAGGATGGTAGTTATGTAGGTTAGGATTTTGGAGAGTATATGATTATTGGGTGCTTGGACCCTTGGGGTTTCCCTAAGTGTAACCAGAGAACCATAGCTAGGGATCCTTTTCAAACCTTTGTACCAAGGATTCAACGGAGTTTTTAGTAGGGCCCAATCATCCGGTTCTTGGAAAACGAAGATCTCAAGGGATCTATCCCTAAGCCCTCAACCCGGGTCCTATTTAGGATTGCATAAGGGTCCGGCTTTTCGGGCCCCGATGTTCCAAGATGCCCTGAGTCCTACCAGAGTTTCGGGTATATCATAATCCTAAACCCTAAACCCGGTATATCTACCACCGGGTTGCAGTATGAGCGGGTTTCGGTTCCAAAATCCATCTGGGGAGTCATAGTTTACGGGCCAAGGGCCCTTTGCCTATTGTTCATGGTCATTCAAGTCCTTACCGACTGAGGGGGTGTTGGTAAGAGTGTGGTTTTTTGGGGTCGGGGGAGTTAACCCTAAGGGTCCAAAGGACCCAATATTTAGGTACTCGGGTGTAGTGTCGGTTACTATTTTGGTGAGTATATGATAATCAGGTACTTGGACCCTTAGGGTAACATGTGGGGTACGGTTTTAGCTGAGTTCTGCCTGTATCCCCAAACCCTACAAAATAGTAGGTTATGACCCCTTAATTGGAGGGCATAACCCCCCCTAAAACAGCAGGTTTTTGGGATCCCCAGGTGGGATTTAGGGTGAAGAGTTTTAGCATTCAGAGCCTCACCTTGTTTAGGGACACGTTCCGCTGCTTTGAAGGTATATCACATACATTCGCTTACTCTATATTGGGGTCATAATGTTCAGAGTAGGTTCGGGGGTATCTTATACTAGAATCATATCTAGGAGCCCGAGGGAACCACATTTCCAACTATGTATTCCGAACACTCCAGAACCCTACAGCTGTTGAGGGCTTCAGGGTTCTGCGGGCAGGGCGCCAATACAGGGGTCATAATACTTACCTAGAGGCTCATACCCTACCCCTTACGTAGTTTTATGGTCAGGATCCGTTATCTTAAAAAGCAGGCGCCCTAAAACAGGGGTAGGGTATGAGCCTCTAGGTAGAGTAAAGGGGTTGAACCCAAGGACTAGTATTCGTCAGAGTTTGGAATTGGTGCGTGACCCAAGCCTGTGTAACGTAAAGCCTTGTTGGTCGGGGCCCTATTGGAAGTATGTTACTGCTAGTTAATCTCTAGAGGACCTAGGAACCCATCAACAACGTTTGACATAAGACTTGTTGAGGCAAGTGCCACCAAGGGGGAATAGGTTTCACGAGTTTGTATCGAAAGCAAACGTAGGAATAATCAGCCATCCTGTCGCTTTACAATCCCGAAAATAGCCCCTTAAATCCCTGAGTGATTTTTTGAGGCTGCTCTATATTGTGAGCTTTCCGGACACCCGATGACCTGAACATGCGACCTACGGTGGGTGGACAAAATCGTGCATGACCTACAGGAAGAAGAGCATGACGCGGTACTCACTCCCTTAACCCCTCTAATGTCAATGTTGATGACGCAGATACGTGATGCAGGATTTCGTCCATTCGCAGACATGGCTCTTTCTGAGGCTGTTCGTCATCAATACTAAGATGCAGGGTTTGGAAGGGATGGGCGGTAGTCGGAAATCGATGCAGGATTTCGTCCATCAACAGTATCTACCTCCATGACCCTGAACCCTAAACTCTCAACTCTGCAGTAAACTCCAAAAAGTTGGAAACCGGATTAAGGCCAAATAGTGCTGGGGCCCCTTATACAGTACTCTTAAGGGTCGAGGCTATTGGGTTTCCAACCTTTGGGCTTCTACTGTAGACCGAAGATCTGAACATGCAGCCCAACTTCAGCAGTTGAAGCGCCATCTCCCACTGGCCGCCCTTCTCACATGCACTGATGGACGCGTTGAAGCCTGGGTTCTCTAAGCCCTTATACCAGGAGAGCCAATAAGGGCACTTCAATCAAGGAGCATGCCTTAGATCAGTAGGGCCTCGATATTACAGCAACCTACCTACATGAGGAAATCATATTCGCAAACCCTAAAAACGCAGGTTTCCTAGCATCCCGGTATGATTTACGGTTTGTATTCCTCAGTTAAGCAGTCTGGGGCTCTGGGGGTATATACCCTAAGGCTCTAAAGACTCAGACTCAAAGGCATCCTCAGCCCAGAGACCATACCATTCCAAGGGTAAAAGGAGGGACCCTGAATAAGGACCCCTAGGTTTAGGGTTTAGGGTTTAAGGTTTAGGGATATACCCTTAATATAGCGATTATGTACCTATTAGATAGCCCATTATAGGGTAGGGGTCCCCATTAATAAAGGGTCCCTACTTTTCCTCTTTGAACCATAGAAGCATGCTACCTACCCTAAGGCTCCTAAGAGGGTCTTGGGCTTTCTGGGGGAGGGTTTCGGCTTTAGGAGCTAGGGTTCGAGATGTCTCTACAACGGTCCAGGCGCCTTCGGGTGACCCATAAAATGTAATACCTTGATTTGGGTACCTAAGTTTCTTATTATAGGACCAATCAACTCAAATCAACAGTGTCTAGGTAGGTTGTGATGAGCTGCAGGGATACATCCCTGTGTATAGGTTGGTGAAGATGGGATTCTACAAAGGCATCATAGTGCCTGGAACGGGTTTAATGACGATTTGGGTATACGTTGGCTTTACCGAGTTGCTGTCTTGGAACTTTACCGTAAGGCTATATAGCCATAACCCAAAAGCCTTACATGGTACAGTAGAAGCCAGAAAGCTTGAACATCCTTCTCCCCATGCCCTTAACATAAAGTATAGGGGATCCTAGCACTAATCCTCCTAAAGCCATGTTCCAACTTTCCCAAAGGGTCCAAGTATCATCATGGTATATACTTAGACCCCCAAAATGCCCTACAAGTATGTACCAGAACGATACTTGGACCCTTTGGGTTTCTGGCGAATGTATGGTCTTCGGCGCCCAGGAGCCTTGAAACATGAGTCCTCAGAGCCTGAAGGTTAAAGTCCAAGTAGGTGATCCCCTACACTGGCTCTAACCCCAAGGGTCCAAAGGACCCAATAATCAGGTACTCGGCTTTAGGGTAGCAGTTATGTGAAGTTACGTAGGTTAGGATTTTGGAGCGTGTATGATTATTGGGTGCTTGGACCCTTGGGGTTAGAGTTCAAGCAGGTGATCCCCACTGGCTCTTATCGGGTGGTAGCCAAAAGAATAAAAGAAAGCTTGGCACTCGGGACCTCAAACCCTACTATTCGGATACTTGGACCCGCTGGCGAAAAGAACGGTCTACTACCCATAGTCTCCATTGTAGCTCCCTTTGACATGAATAAAAGGTTATACTTGGGATCCTATACCGCAAACAGGAACTACAATGGAGACTATAGGTAAGTATACTAATGCAGGACCAGGCGACTGATTTGGTTCGGAGACAGGGCGGTGAACATCTGAAAAAGTATAGCCTCTCTTCTTCAACAGCCGGGCCACAAAAAAGTTCAAACTTTACAAGGTAGAGCTAATATATATATATATATATATATATATATATATATATATAATACATGTATCTATAAGAGGCCAAAAAGTTTGAAGTTCCCCCATTGACTATCGAAGTAGCAAGGGCCGCCTGCCAACAACTGCCCTTCTCACAAGCACTGATTGCTGCATTCAGGCTAATGTTGCTTGGTGAGGTGCTGGACAATGGCATGGTGGAGAGCTGATGGAGAGCCAGTTGCCAACGTCCGGCTTTTTCACAAGCTGTGATAGCCTGGATTCCCGAGTAGCATAGTGATATCGGGACCCTTTAACCTACTAATTGAATCAACCAGTATGAAATAATTCTGAAATGTTACTGAACTAGCCTAGTAGCTGCGTTACTCATGATAGTGTCCGGCACCAGTTTTGCTGCACCAGAATCAGACAGAAGGCTCAACGTGACTTGCCACTCACCACATTTCGCACAGGCACTCATAGCTGCACTGAAGCTGATAACATCAGGCGTGAGTCCAAAGCCAAGCATGCGAGAGAGGAGAGACACGGCCAACTGCCATTCTGCCCCCTTCTCGCAGGAAGTCAAGGCAGCATTCAGGGTGATGAGATTCGGCGGAATTCCGGCTGAAACCATCCCCCAAAAGACCAGGAAGGCCATTTGCCACTGACCATCGACGGCGCAGGCGCTGATGGCAGCACTGAAACTATAAACATTCGGCTCCACTTCGTCTCCTTGCATCTCTGCCAGCAGATGCAAGGCCTGCAGCCACTCTCCGCACTTCTCACAGCTGCTGATTGCTGCGCTGTAGCTGAAAACATTTGGCTCTGCCGCTGCCTCCTGCATGGCTGATAAGACCTTAGTCATCCAGTCTCCAGCCCGGCGGCACACCCCGAAACCCCAAGGGTCCAAGTACCTGATAATCATATACTGGGTTGTAGTTTTGGGGCTCTGAAAAGTATTTATGAATGGGTACCTCTATAGGAACCATAAGGGAAATTAACAAGTTTCCCAAATTGCCACCTAGTATACTCTCCCAAATAGGAACCTACATAGCCTCTATTCTATTGCTGGGTCGTTTGGATCCTTGGAGAAACGTCCTGTCTCGGGGGACAATAAAGGTTCACTCTTCAGAGGCTATAGGGGCGGTAACCCGCAAATCCACAAAAAGGCTAACGGACAGAACCCTAAACCCTAAACCACTAAACCCTATAAACCTAAACCCTAAACCAACTGCTTCTCATTGGTTCACCACAAGACTCCCAGTGCAATTTTCCACTGCCTCCCTTTCCTGAGCTGCATTGTTGCACCCTTAAACACTCTTAGTTGCACTTGTATATGTATGTATGCATGCATGTATGTATGTATAGATAGATAGATACACGCGTCTTTCTGTATTTGTACAGACTCCGATTTGCCCCCGTTTCAGACTGCATAGCCTATGCAAGAAGTACTGCTAGAGACCTGCCAAGACTCCCCATGGCGCTAATGGCCGCGCTGAAAGTGACGGTGCCTCGGATGTATAGCTTGCGGACTTGGTACGGCAGGCGCTGAATTTCGAGGCCTGGGCCTACACCTTATCGACGGAAAGCCTGCGTTTCTTATGGACTTCTACTTGGAGGGGCAGGGGACTTAGTAGTAGGTTACAAGTAGAGTTATAAGTACCCTAAACGGACTTACCCCAATTATAACCCTATTTATAAACAACCAAGTCCACTGCCCCTCCAAGTACAAGGAGATCATAACCACTATGGGCTATTAGACCCTAAAGATCCCTATTAGGACGGGTAGATTAAGGTATACCCATAAGGTCTAATAGCCCATAGTGGTAGCAAGGACGCATAAAAAATGACCGGTTCTTGGGTGTCAGGGCAAGATTCTTCAGGGTGTAATCTTGAGTGGAGCGGGTGGGTGCACGGGTTCTTACCTTTGGTTAATAGGGAATGGTAGGGTTCCCTTTAAGGGGGTCTATAAGGGTTACTATAAGGGATCTATAGTTACCTTTGGTTAGTAGGAAATGGAAGAATGGTAGTAATAGTAGTTATAATTGTACCCCATTCCTCCATTCCCTACTAACCAACGGTAAGGAGTTCGGCTGGCAAGGTCCCAGAAGTCATCCGAGCCGCTTGGTGTGCAGCCATGCGCCCACAAGTCTTCCAAGACCTTTCGGCTCGTTTGAAGGATTAGCAAAAAGGTAATCTTCACCTTCATGACACCGCTAAGGTTGCCCTAAACCCGAAACTGAACAGTGTGGAACTTCAAAAAAGCACTTTGTCTCTCTTTCTGGTGATTCTGGTGCTGTTCTCTCAACTCACGTACCCTAAACCCTAAACCCTAAACCCCTAAACCCTAAACCCTAAACCCTAAACCTTGAGCTACCACAACCCCAAACCCTCAACCCATCCGGGCCAGGGCCTGAACCTTAAAGAAAGGGCTCCTATAAATCCTTAAAAGGTAGGGTCTAGGGCCCAGGTAAAGCCGTAACCGTTCCCCCAAGGGCCCAAGTACCCAATAATCATATACTCTCCAAAATCGTAACCTACATAACCACTATCCTAAAACCGAGTACCTAATTATTGGGTCCTTTGGACTTTTAGGGTTCCTGTAAATCCTTGTAAAGGGGGTCTAGGGCCCAGGTAAAGCCGTAACCGTTCCAAGTAAAGCAAAAGCCAGAAAGTTGGAATATGATTGTCCTAAACCCTTAATTTATATTATGGTAAATTATCAGCTATCCTACCCTGAAACCACATTCCAACTTTCTGGGGTTCCCTTTAAGGCCAGGGCCTCCAAAGCCAGGGGCCACTCCCCACTTCGCGCGTGGCGGCCCAGAGCCAAGACATGGGACCTCTGATCCTCAGAAGGCTTTCCTGCCTCGGAGTCCTTTGAGCCCATCGGGTAAAAGCCCAGAGACTCCAATATCCCTTAATTAAGGAATATTCCTTAAATCATATAAGGGATCCTACTATAATTTAAGGAATATTCCTTAATTAAGGGATATTGGAGTCTCTGGGAGGGGTAATATAAGGGCGTTAGATTTTAGATTAACGCTCCTTTAAGGGGGCCTTTAACAGGGGATCTATAGTCCAAAAGGCGTTGCTGCCTCGGAGTCCTTTGAGCCCATCCGGCAAAGGGGTACCCGGCTGTCGGGTTTAGGGTTGAAGCTTCGGGTTTGGGGTTTAGCATGGGTTGCACTGCATGGGGGTTTAAAGAGGAGCTTGGAGATGTTTGGTAGTGGATTAACTTATTTCTTTTGTGACAAATATCAATTAGCATGGAGAAATCCGTGAGATTAACACAGATCTTCCAAATCCCTCAATTTGACATGCCTCCCAAACTCATACAAGGTTCTTATAATGGCGTCGGGTATATTCTTTCATTCAAGGATCTTGGGAGATCTGGGAACATATTACAGGTAACTGGACTTATAGGGCTCCGAGGAATGAGACAGAGAAGACAGGGGCATACCAGCTTCTCAGACTCTCTGGGAGCAGAAATGCGGCAGGAAGAGAACCACGGAGGACAATCTAGGGTTTTGACTTGTAGGGGAACGGGAAAACAGCTCAAAACATCCGATCCATCGGTGGCATTACTACCCTAATTTCCACCACCTGCCGCCTCTGTTCTGTCGGTCGGCGTTAGGGTTTAGGGTACCCAACCCTAAGGGCCCATGTGCTCATATAGTATAAACTTAAGCCCGTATGAGGCTCCGGTATAATATAAATGAGGGTAGACGCGTTTCGGAGCAACCGGCATACCGTTGAAGGGATGGGGGATTCAAGTTGAGATTACAAAAATTGAGTTGACAGGAATTTTGCTTAGCGGTGTCGGGTTTCAGGTCTTAGGATTCAAGCTCTCACGAGGTTTAGGGGTTGTCCCACTGGCTGACTGCACCTGCTTCGACCTAAGTTAATGTAACACAGGCACATGGACCCTTAACGCGCACAAAAACCTGCAAATCCCAGCAAAACACTGAAAGGAATCTGCCAGGAGCAGCCGGCGAAGCCTGTTGACGAAGTCCAGAACAATCCTACATGATTTAATCCCCGATGCCAAACCAAAAGCCCGTTAACATTTATAAGCCCACACCCCAAGCCTTAAAGCAAGACAAATGCCCAGACCCCTATGCCTGCAACGCTGGAACAAAGAAGCATCCACACGCCAGCCCTGCAACCACGACGCTTTTTCATGTGCAGTGACACCTCCACTTGGAGGTTCATGGGCTTGCTAAGCGCCCTAAGCCTGCAAGTGCAGATAATATGTAAGCTGTATGGTCCTGAAACCACACATTAAACCTGGTCATCCCGCACGTGCTATCACCCGACAGCAACTCGACGGATCTAAAGCAGCTATACGATTCGAAATATGAGTCGGTATAGCATTTAGGAAACTAACCAGCGGTTAGAGTTTAAAAAGTTCGTACAGTATAAAGAATATTGGGTGCTTGGACCCTGACAGCAACACCATCACCCAAAAGCCCTGGGGCCTAAAGGACACAACCGCACATCTGGCTTCAGGACAGCCGCTGTGCAGATGACGTGCATAATATGACCCTACAGGCCCATGTAGCTATGTAGCTACATGCTGGGGCCATGAAGAACCGAATTAGCGCCAAAGTATGTACTACTTGAGTACATGACATTTGCCCTTAGGGTTAGTATTTATTGCCGGGGGACGTCAGGGTAAAAACCCCATGGGGCTTCAGTGAAGGTCTGCGGCAGTGATCAAGGCCAGGAGGTCCGAAACTGCCCGCCGCTGTCGCCCACGCTGGCATGCGACGACACAGGCGCTGAAACTGGATATGGTCGGCTCCTGTGTCTTCTTTAAATTAGCATTAGAGCGCAGAATCAAAGTTTCCGGTCGCGGGTTTAGGGTGGCTTTTAGGATCTGAAGTTTGAAGTGTAGCTACAGTTTTAGTGGGAATAGGACTGGCTTAAGGCTATCCAAGATACGAATCCCGCAAAACTGCTTTAGGGGTTTAGGGTTTAAGTATAGGCTTTATGGGGGTTTAGGGTTGATTCGAAAACGGCTCCATAGGCTGCTGCTAAGATTCTAATTCGTAGGTTGGCATGGAAGACAATAGGTGTAGCGCAAGCTGCCACTGCGCACCTTTCTCCGCTGCTTTCAGAGCAGCATTGAAGGTAATCTCATTCGGCGCCAGTCGGCTTGCAAGCATCTTCGAAAGCCTTGCTTAGGAAGTAGGGATTGTAGGGTTGAGGTTTTCAACATGACATACTGGAATAAACATCGACCCTGGAAACAGGGAACACACAGAATAGCAAGACCATGCAAGAACGCACAACCCGACAAGTTGAAAACAACCCTCTCATTCGTCCACCTGAAAGCACGGAAGCCCGAAACGCTTCTAATACCGAATCCACACACCATAAAAGCGCATGAAAATCCCTTGTAAACCGAAACCTTCACAGGAAACCGCCTTGAGAACCCCAATTGAATGGTTGAACCCTATTACCCCTATTTAAAAGGGGAATCCTTCGAAGGGATTTGGGAAACTCAATCAAAGTTCCCCCCTCAGCGCAATTCAAGCGGAACCCCTTAACTGGACCCAAGAAGCAGCTGCAGTGCCATCCTCCACTGCCCGCTCTTCTCACAGGCGCTGATCGCGGCACCATAGGTCACCTGGCTGGTTTGGGGCGCACGCAGCGCACGCACGGTGTCTAGGGTTTCGGGGCTGAGGGTCTGTTTTCTGCTTTGCCCTTCCTGAGAGAGGCGTAAGGCGGTTACGGGTTTCGGCTACTTGGGAGTGACATGTCATACTACCGTAAGGGCACCATAATAAGGATACTGGTACTATCAGGCTTTATAAGAGTCCAACAAGGGTTCTATACTGGGTTTAAAGGGCTTTGGGTGTAGGAGCTTGAGAAGTAACACAAAGAACTTCCTCAACATGACCTCGATCTGCATTTCAGCTACTCTGCAGATGAATCACCTACAAGCCTTCTGCTTCTACTGGGTTTAGGGGTTTAGGGTGTTCAAACTCACAAAGGGGCACCAAAACTAAACAGGAAGCACGAAGAAAGCAACAACACATAAGGCAGAAGGCTATCAGGATTCTCGTGGTTCTATTGATTCTATTGCTCAGCTTCGCAAGGGAAACCCAACATCCCAAAGGAAAAACGCTGCCAACCGGGAGACAAAGTCACTCTGCTGGCGAACAGGCTGCAAGAACGCAGGCTCGCAAAGAGTCGTAGGGCCACCTGCGGGTAATATAAGGGCCGTAACAATCAGAATAGGGTTTTGGGGGCCCATTATATTATACTTATAATAAGGAACCCTCAAAATAGCATTGGCAATTATTTCGGCCCGTATAGTAGGCTTTCCCAACTAAACACTCCCCAAGGGTTTTTGGCTCAGGGTCTCGAGTCCGGGATCTGAGGTTTGACGTTTCAGGTGACGGTTTACAGGGTTAGCCCTGAGGCTCAAAATAGCAAAATATCTACCTTGCATTGTACTATCATTATACCATACCAAAACCGAAGCTTTGTAGAACCCCTCAAAATTCAAGATTAGGGTCAAAATAACCCAAAAGCCCTGTAATAGTATGGCCGTTGGGCCCAAAAGCCTTGAAATAGGAGCCCTTAGAGCCTAAAGGTAAGAGATCACATGGGGTGTTGGGTTTTGGGTTTCACGGCTTAGGGCTTAAGGAAACCACTCGGACAATATTATGCAAAAGGGTCCTATCGGCAGGCACAGGACCCTAAAACACAACTGCAATAAGGAACGTGGTATATGTGTGTATGAAACAAACAGAAGGACCCGATTGAATGTGTATATATATATATATATAACTGTACATATAGTATTTAGTATACTTGTAGTACTGTATACTTACGCTTACATGCGCTGTAGGAAAAGGAGGCTACCTGTCTAGCCCCCTAAAGCCCAAAGGTCCGAGTACCGGGTCATCATGTGCATTTCCAAACAGATGATGGTTTAGGGTTTAAGGTCGGGGTTTAGGGTTTATAGGGTCGGTCTAAGATTTGTGGTTTAGGGTCGGCTTAAGGTTGAGAGTTTCGGTCGGTTTAAGGTTTGGGGCTTAGGGGACCTGCTGCTACAAAACTAGTGTTTTCAAACCAAAGTACCTGATTCTCCGGTCCTCTGGGCGCTCATGAACCCTAGAAAGCCCATAAAGCCCAGAGTTAGTACTTCTCTCCTTTCTAGGGCCCCCAAAAAGCACATAAGCAAAAACAAGGGTAGGGATATCCCAGATAAACGCCCTTGAAAAGGAAGGCCAACAATGTAGGGATATCCCCATACAATACTTATGCCTATGTGCTTTTTGGGCCCCTAACTTTCCCCTATACTAAACCCTAAACCCGAACCCCTAAACCATACCTCTCCCCTTTCAACCTTTGGGATTCTTGCTGGGCAGATGTTGGCCTGCCACTGCGAGCCTTTCTCACAGGCACTGATGGAAGAGTTGTAGCTGATCACGTCCGGCACTACGCCTTACGGCAGGGGCCTTAATGTATAGAGTGAGGCTTTGGTAGCATTTTCTACAGCTATGCTTATGATAAGACCCCAGTTCAGAGGAACAATTTCTTTGGCAGAATATTACATCGTACTTAGAACGAGGAACCCTACGAAGATATTTCTGGTAATCGAAATCCATTAAAACCCCTGATGTAGGAACCTGATTAAGACACCTTGGGCCTTTATCACAGTCCTCTATATGCATCCTACTATTTTGGTGTTATAGGCCCAGGGTTTCTTACTCAGGTTCCTACATTAAACCCAAACCCTGAAGCTTCCCCAAGCTCCCCACGGAAGTGAAAGGCGAACCCATCCTGCACAAGAGCAGGGCTTAGGGTTCAGGGGTTTAGGGCCCACAAGCATTCTTTCGGAGAGATAGGGCAAGACTTTGCCTAAGCAGAAATCTACAAAAGCACAAGGTCTCCGGTAGTTCTTCTCACAGAGCTCCAAAACCAGCCAGTATTCAGGCTTCGTAAACGATAGCAAAAAATGATAACGGAAAACTTTCTAAACCCCCCCAAAAAGGCTCTAATTATCAGAGAACCAAACTGCTTGCCACAGCTGGACATCCTTTTGAAAACGGCATACTTTCCTGATGTCAACATATATACGGCCTTAAGGGAGCCAAAACACGGACTTGCCGCATCTCGGAAAGCAGCTGGCATGCCAGCCGCCACTGCGCAGACTTCTCCAAGGCGCTCAGGCCTGCAGGGTTTAAGGGCTCATGTAAGGGTTTAGGGATCCTTTAAGGATTTAGGGTTCCTTTATGGGTTTAGGCTTCCTTTAACTTTAATTAATGATTTAGGGTTCCTCTAATTTAAGAGTTCCTTCAAAGGGTCTGTAAGGGTTACTCTGAGGTTCTGTAAGGGTTACTACAGGGTTCTTCCTTTAAGGCTTCCCCTCTAAGGGTTCAATATAGGCTACTATAGTGTTCTAGAAGGGTTACTTGACGGTTCAAACAGGGTATCTATAAGGTTCTAGAAGGTTACTGTAAGGTTCTAGGGTTCCTTGATTTTAAGAGCTCGTAAAAGGTTACTGTGATAAGATTCCCTTGAGGGCATCCTACAAACAGGTTCCTGCAAGGGTTGTCTCAACACGTTCTATACTACAAGGGTTACTACAAGGTTCTGTAATGCAGGGGCATTAATGACAAGAACTTGCTTCGGGGCTGTATGATATTACAGCTGCTTACTACTATGAAAGGATAACCTGGCTCCTGCTAATTCCCAGTAGCCTCTCGAGCACAAGGTTTAGGGTCAAGGTTTATCGCTTCTCTGGTTACGATCGATTGTTGAGTGTGCGGAGACCAAAAAACCAAAACGGCTAATATACGGTTTAGAGATTAGGGCCCCTTGTAGTAACCCTAAACACTAAACCCTAAAGCCGAAACCCTAAACCACCCTAAACCCTAAACCGAAACCCTTCAAGAACCTATGAGGTACTCTTGTGTGGGCTAGCAGCTGGCATTGAAGGAAATCCCGTTGGGAGAAAGTCGCCCACTTCCACATGCTTCCAGCAGTGCCACGGCCATTTGCCACAAGGAAGCCTTAGCTGTCCGCAAACTTTACCCTTAGGCTCTAAGGACTCACATTTTACGGCGTTTTGGCTTCACGACCATACCATATAAGGCTTTTGGGCTATTTTGAGCCTTAGGGTTATAAACCGTTAACAGCACGATCAAGTCCGAACAGGCCTCTTTACGACCAGCATCATGACACGTAATGTGATACATTCCTGCCGGAACCGGATGGTAACTGCAAAAAAGCTGAAGCTTATCTGAACTCGGCCACTAAGGTGCGGAAGCACAAGCGCTGATTGATGCATTGTAACTGATGACGTCTGGAAGAAGTCTGACCGTCGGAAGTTCGGACAAGATGAGAAGAGATAGCTCCCATTGCTTGCCCTGGCCACAGGCACTAATCCTCACTGGCCCCAAACCCAAAGAAATAAAAGTTGACACTTTCAGAATCGACTAACTTATAAGAACCCCAAAAATTGAAAAGTTGAGTTTACAGCCAGTAAGAATCGCCGAGTTGAAACTCACACAGTCTGGCTCCAAGGTCTGGCAGCCCATCTCGCGCAGTACCCTCAGCTGTCCGCTTTAGATATTTAGGGCACACCTAGACTACGCAATGTACCTTAACAAGAGCCACATGACCCTGAAACATAGGTGTATTTCCCTCTTTCAGAGTACCTTGGCTACTCTAGGTAGGGTATACAGTAGAAGCCCAAAAGTTGGAAACCTCATAGCCTCGATGCTTAAGAGTAATGTACAGGGAATCCCAGCTCTGTTTGGCCTGAATCCGGTTTTCAAAATTATGGGGTTTACTGTATGCCCTAACCCCTAAACCCTAAAACCCCTAAAACCCTAAAACCCCTAAAACCCTAAACCCTAAAACCCCTAAGCCCTGATTTACTGTAGGGAAGTGGAACGGAACCACCGAGCCGGAGAAGCTATAGCCAAAAAGGCTCCAACCCCAAAGGACCGTACCTATAGTCTCCATTGTAGTTCCTTGTTTTGGTTTAACCACCTTCTGTTTAGGATCCAATAAGGTAGCTCGAAAAAGGAGCTACAATGAAGACTACAGGTCATCTTGACAAACGCAGGTGCCAAGGAACTGCAAAGCCATCTCCCACTGCCCAGCTTTTGCACAGGCACTTATGCACGAGTTCAGTGTGATCTCAGTGGGCTCAACTCGGACAACACGGCTCCAGGTGAGGATTTGAAGAGCTGTCTGCCACTGACCCGCCTTCTCACCTATACTGAACTTAGAACCCTGGCAAAAATCATACTTTTAGCTGTTTCTTAGGGATTATAATAACCAAAAATTAGAAATTATTTCCAACTACGCCCAAGTCACAGGTGCTAATGGCAGATCCGAAGGTGATTTCATTGGGGATTGCCTCAAAAGTAGACATGATTGCAAGCAGCCCCAGTGCTACTTGCCACTGCCCTTCACAGGCAGTAATGGTAGCACTGAAGCTGATGGCATTGGCCTCCACGGCGGACTGCAACATAGACTCAAGCAGGTGGCATGCAATCTTCCATCGCCCACTCTGCGCAAACGCGCTCAGTGCAGTGTTGTAAGTGATCGTATTGCAGGGAATTCTACTGAATTCCATGTCCTCCAACAGTTCTAGCACTGGCTTCCACTTCGTTCCTGCTGCGAATGCACTGATAAGACTGCTGAATGTCACCATGGTCGGCGCACATTCCATCTCCAACATGTCGTAAAAGCACTGCAAGGCCAAACGCCAGATCCCACCCCTCTCACAAGCATTGATTGATGCATTGAAGGTGACATGGCTTGGCGTAACTCCAGCTGCCAGCATCCTTGGAAGGCTTCGCAAGCCCTCCTGCCAGTGACTACTTCGCTGGCATGCGCTTGTGGCAGAGCTGAAGCTGAACCTTGGCCGGGAGCGCTATACACACCCTTCCTCAACCGATCATAACCTGCTTTTTCTGCAGGTTTTTTAATTTTCAACTCATATGTGGATTATGTAGGGATACTACGAAAAAGTCGCTTCTGGTAGCTCGTTTGTTAATGGGAACGATGTCAAGAATATGTCTCAACCAACCTGTCTCTTCCTTATATGGGGGTAATTCCCTAAGGTGATTTGTACTTTTCGAGTACGTGCTTGGGCCGTGCAGGGGTTCCTGCAAGAAAGGTACCTTTAAGGCCTAGGTATACTCTCTGTCTCTGTCTCTGTCTCTGTCTCTGTCTCTGTCTCTCTCTCTCTCTCTTCTCTCTTCTCTCTTCTCTCTTCTCTCTTCTCTCTTCTCTCTTCTCTCTTCTCTCTTCTCTCTTCTCTCTTCTCTCTTCTCTCTTCTCTCTCTCTCTCTCTCTCTCTCTCTGTATATATATATATATACACTTGGAGCGAACCTCGGAAGTGCCATCAGGACGCTACCTCCGCCAACACTATGAATACTATATGTATTGATAAAGCTTGGGGGTAGAGCTTACCAAAACACTTCCAAAACCTAACTGTTTTGTAGGTTTGTTCTTTTTCTAATCCCGACCACGGAATGTATAGGGGCCCTAAAAAAAGCGGGTGTTGGTGAGCAAGCTGTATAGGGCTTAGAACACTAATATTTTTTTTAAGAACGTCAAGAAGAAAAGCTATCGCACTTTAGTCGTAGATCATCAGCAAACATTCTTAGAACATGCTGATAACAACGACAGTCAATCATCTGCAAACTTCCCCTAAACCTGCACGGCAAGGGACTGGGTTTCCTATACAGCGACTTTAGAGCCAGTGTATCTACTGCATAGGCACATGGACCCTGCGTAATTTTCTGAAACCCTCCAAACAACTCGTAAACAGCCCTTACGGGGGTCCCATATATCTTTGCTAGAGTTTGCCCCCCAAACTTTGGCTCCGGGCTAGTCTTAAATGGACTCCCCCACTCCGAACCTTCGGGCTTAGGGTCCCGAAATCGCAGCCAAAAACAACTCCAAGGGACGTGTCCGGTCTGAAAGAGGCGCGTGGCATCGCTGCTAGGAGAGTCAGAGCTTTCTGCCATGCGCCTGTGAGGGCAGGTTTAGGGTTAGAGTTTAGGGTTTATGCTTCTGGAGTGTTTTTCAAAGTGAACACGGTATTTGTTATAGGCTTGGCTCTGCATATTTGCCACCGTGATTATAACCGGTACTGCTGCAGGGTTTGGCATAGTTTATGTTCTTGCTTTTGTTGTACAGGCGTTACACTACTGCCATTCTTAACATGTTACTCTGCACCTAAATATAAGCGGAAATGGCTTCTTTTTGATAGCGGAAACGCTTGACGCAAAATTTAGGTAGGCATGAGCTGCGAAATGTTAATTGAACGCTTTAGGGTTTCCAGCGTTAGACGTTGCCTGGAAGCAGAATTTGTTTACCTCTTGTGGGCACCTGGCCGCCCAGCTTCGGAACTGTGGCTTAGAGGGCCCAAGTGGCCAAATAGCAAAATCAAATTCAGAGTATAGTGTTTGGTACCGAAAACCCTACCAGTTTACTTCTCAGACCCTTGCAGAATTCTGATAGATCCTCAGAGGAACCCTAAACCCTTACCATTGACGCTTAGGGTTCTCGAAACCCTAGACTCTCACCCTCCAATCCGAACCCCCCCAAAGCGCTGAACCCCAAGGCCAATACTCAAACCACATTTTGGTAGCCTTACCCCAAGGGTCCCAAGGACCCCATAATTGGGTACTCGGCCTTAGGATAGTAGTTATGCAGGCTAATATTTTGGAGAATATGTGAATATTAGGTACTTGGACCCTTAAAGTTATAGCAATTGACATTCAAATCGTCCTCTAAGTGTATCCATCAGAGTTCCGTTAGAGTTTCTAGAATCGACCTTGTCACGGCGAAATTGATATCCATATACCTTTAGAGGACCCCCTACAACCAAAAACACCCACACAAAAAAACAACAACCGACTGAGGCCGCTGGCCTCCTTTCTCATAGCCGCTCATGGCTGCATTTACAACCTTGGCCACTCCATCTCTGATGCGGCTTTTTGCTGCCCCAATAAGCCACAGAAATAAAAGGTTAAACTTTCGGATTACTACTAAACCACAAGAACCCAAAAAGTTAAAAGGTTGGGTATAGGGGAACTAAGGCTTCTCATGAAGCTCTCACCAGTACTCTAACGTGGACTCACCATGATAGGGGCAGATTGCCCAACAAAAGAAGCTCAGTAATTGTCTGATGGCTTGTCTCAGCTTTCTGGCCGCCAACAATGCTTTTCAAACTGGGACTTCGGGTTTTACGGGTTACCTGAACCCTGAAGATCTGCGTTTGCGAGGTGCCTCATCCAAATCAAAACTCTTCACACACAGGTCCCTATCCATTCTCCGACTCAGGGGCAACTTCGTTTGCCTCAACTCCGCTCGTGGCCATATTAGCCAGGATTTGTGCCGCGACCTGCCACTGGGTACCTGGGCAATCTCCAAGCAAGGCTGAGACCACGATTCGCATCCCATTTGGGACAAAAACCCTGAACCCCCGTACCTTACTTGGAGGGGCAGGGGGCTTAGTAAGTAGGTTATAAGTAGAGTTATAAGTACCCCAAATGGAGTTACCCCAATTAGAACCCTACTTATAAAGGACTTACTAAGTCCCCTGCACTTCCAAGTATACCTATAAACTCCTGAACCCCATCGATCCCTTTAAGGAGCCCTATAGATCCCTTTAAGGAGCCCCCCTAAACTCCTGAACCCCCTGCCCTTCCAAGTATAGCCCTAAACTCCTGAACCCCAACCCCTAAAGACTGGTCTTGATCTTAGGTACGGCCCCCATACAGTCAGAGTCTATAATAGGGCTACTATTAAGGTCCTAATCTATCTATATATTATGAATAATATTCAACTATTACTGAGTGGGGGCCGTACCCAATCTTGATCCCAAGCTAAAACCGGGAGACTCTGAAGCCGACAGGTGTGGCTCTTCTTTTCAACAGATAAAACATCTCTGCTAAGACAGCCATAGCTGTCGAAGACCATCGAATACCATCGAAGAAGAGACCAAGATGGCCAAACCATCACGAATCAGCTTTAAGATGGATAAACCTTCCAGATATGTAAACATGAACCTCAAACCCAACAAGCCCTATTCTACTTCTAATGAAAGCCCTTTGCCAGTCAAGGTGCACTTCTGGCAGGCTCGGATTGCTGTACCATAGCCTGGCTCCCATCTACCCCCTAGAGAGTTGATTCGTTTTCGACTGCGCTGTTTTAAGGAGACCCGCCTCAACAACAAAAAACTGAACCCTCGCACCGCCGCAGAGCATTGCACCAGCTTAGACAAATAGCTTGACCATCAAAGGAAAAAGAAAAAGGGTACCTAAACCCCAAACCCAAAACCCTAAATCCAAAACCCATAACCCCAAAACCTAAACCCTCAACCCCAAATCCTAGACCCTAAACCAATAGAAAAAGGCTACCACGTGGGAGCCGAGGTAGCTAAAGATGTTTGCTGCTCGGGCGGCTTCCAGAGATTGTAACAGGCCCACCGCCTGCTGCCAGCGTCCAGGGTTGAAGGTTCAGAGTTGAGGCTTTAGGGTTTAGTGGTTTAGGGGTTTGCCTGAATCCCCAAAACCAGATAAAATACTGGCCCAATACCTATAGAAGGCCATTATTCTACTTACTTTTACGGCCCAGGTAGGGGGTTTGGGGTTTGCATTTGGTTTAGGCGTCAAGGGTCGAGCCCAGAGGGCGCGCCCGAGACTAGGGCTGTTTGAATTGAAGGCTTTTAGAGCTGTAAGGTGTAGTTGATGAAGTTCCAGAAGGTGTTAAGGTTGCAGTAGGGTTCATCAAGACACCTTAATCCAATGCTGACAAGAAGCCCAAATAAGTAGTAATATCTGCCATCCCAGGGCTCAGAGCTACTGTTGGGACATAGATATCAACAAAAACCACCTCCGGAAGGGAATGACCCTACCGTGTTATCCCTTCCATATACCTTAGTGAAGACTAAAAAATGGAACCATGACACGATCCCTGACATGATTTACGGAACATTCCCGAATTTAAGGGACATTGGAAGCTCTGGGTGCACAATAAAATGTTGAACAACCGTGAACTGGTCCTAGTAAACCATGAACCCTGCGAGCCCACTGATAGCTGTTGCCAAAAACACGAACCCCAAATCCTAATCGAAGCCTAAACAGGGGGTTTCGGTCCCTAAGCTCCAGAGAAAGAGTGGGGTTTGCTGATTCAAAACTCTAGAGAAATCTTCAAGTACGCAAAACCCAGTAGCGTACAACATAGGCTGATGAGCTCTTACGGAAAAGTTATCTCACCCGGCACCCTAAAAGCCTAGAGAACCCGCAAAAGAGCCGCCACCCCCAACGGACCCTGCAAAGTAACAGAGAAACCCTGGAATGACTCCTCGCGAGCCAAACAACTAAACTGGGGGGCATGCAAAAGCACAAATATCGTCAGGACTGTACCTGGATGCTATTAATAATTGCTCCGAACCCTTGGGAACACAATTTGTAATTACATCATTCTTCAGGGAAAATCATAAATCCCAAACACAACCTGGCAAAACCGTACCATTCGCTAGGATCTCTTAAAGGAACCCTCTAGATGTAGACCCAGGAGTAACCTTGGAATAAACAAGGTGTCCTTTTTGGGTTAAAGGGCTTATAAGGGAACCTGAACCCTAAAACAAGACAATAAGAATACCAAGACAGATTGAGAGACCATCTATGAGGTTCTCTAGTCCAGGTCCTAGCTTGTTGTCATAGCTGGCAGGGCCCAGGCCTTCTGCCACTGACGCGATTCCCCATGCCTTGGGAGCCCCCCAATTTTTCTACTAAGTTCCTTCTATACTTGGTACTTCGGTTGATGATATAAACCCTGCATTACCCGTAATAAGGAATATACCATAATTCCCATAGTTTCGGGTCCTTAGGGTAATACAAGATTTATATCATCAACCGTTGGACCATGTGGGTTTGTGTCCTTACCCGTCTCTCCGAGGTTGTGGCAGCCGGGAGCCTAAATCGCCAGATGGGTTCAAACCAGTTTGGGTTCAGGACGTAAGGGTGTTTTAGGGCTTTTGGGATTAGCGGCTTATAGGGCGTCGGTGGGTTTAGGCTTAGGCTTAGGTTCTAGGTTTCATGGGGTTGGGTGTAGGGCTTTAGGTTAGTAGCCCCTAAACCCTTTCCAAACCTACTACTATAGTTGATATTATAACTCCTGCATTACCGTAATGACCCTAGACGATGGGAATTATGGTATCGTCCTAAAGGTAATGCCGGGGTTTATATCATCGACCGTATGTAGGGCTTTAGGAACAAAGCACCTAGGCGGCCACCCTGAACCCCAAAAAGAAAACACCTAAACCCTGGTGGACAGGTTTGCTTAGGGCTTTCTAGGGAGTCAAAGAAACCCACTCCTGGGAGCTTTCGCCCCGGAGCTTATCGGATTGAACCTGTTCATCTTCTCTGAACGTTCTCCTATGGATTGCTTTGCATGGTTCCTTTACTGGTTCCTTTAAGGGTGCCACATGGGCTAAGGGTATAAGGGTCCACGCACCCAAGTAGTCCATACTTTGGCCCCGAAACACCTAAATTGGGACTACTTTAACGCCTCAGTATATGCTAATTGGGCACATGGACCTTTAGGGTTATCGGATCGAGTGCATTAATCTGCTCTGACCGTTCTGCGGCTTCTTCAGCGTTTAGGGGGTGGTCTTCTGATCGCCCCAATGCAGGGGCCTGTTTAGTTTGTAATTTCTGGAGTTTTCTTTGTCGTACCAAAGCATACGAATGGGTTATGTGGTACAAAGCGAGATATATGTACCACGAAGACAACAAGTGGATGTACCATTAAGATGTGCTAAGTTCAAAGTATTACTCTTACTTACTTGGGGCCTCAGGAAGCAAGACCAAAGCCACTTCTTGAAGCTGGAGGCCCCATAATTGCCCGAAATTTCATTCTTCAGGTGCAAACCCGTACCAAGATGATGCGAGAGGGTTTAGGGCCTAGGGTTTATGAAGGCTTCCTTTAAGGGTTCCTATAAGGGTCCTTTAAGGATGAAAAAACGTGTACGACCTCGTGGAAAACCCTTGTAGCTAATGTGCTGCTAGGAGGCAGCAAGAGCTCTTCGTTCAATGCTCGCACTCGATAAGGTGCCAGCATGCACGGCATCCGCCACTCTCCACCAACCCCTAAACCCTAAACCCCAGCCGTCCAGGGTGTAGTTTGGTTCGATGTTACGTTCTGTGGAGCCCATTAGGTTCCAAGTCTGTACCCGGATCTTCCAGTATCCCTCAATTGAGGAATATACCTTAACTCATCTTATTATGGGTCCTACTCTAGTTCAAGATGCGTGCGCGTGTGCATGTATACATATGTGTGTGTATATATATATATATATATATATAATACTTATTGTACATTGCACTTATGCAAGTTTCAACCTGCAAGCTGAAGCAGTCCGAGTAAGAGTTTGCCTACGACTCCATGCGCCGAAATAGTTTATACCTTGGCCCCAACGGATCCAAGTAGATATTTCATACAGGCCGTATATGATATGTGCATACATGGATCCTTATGGATAGCACGCACCTACGTCTGGGCCGAAATCGTCACACGGCACTCTACTCTGCTGGTACGTGGACTCCATGAGAGTGGCTGATGAATTGGATTGAAAGGCTTGATAAAGACGCCTAATGCGTAGGCCTCACCGTGAGGGTCCAAAAGGGCCCAATAGTTAGGTACTCGTGTTTAGGATAGTTTATGTAGGCTAGTATGCTTATCAAGTACTTGGACCTTAGGCCTTAGGGTAACGTTTGGGGTCTACAGTGGGTCAAGGTCTACCGCTATTAGCTCTTTAGGGCTTTGAGGTTTGTCCCCCTCCGATCCACCTTCAATCCACGCGCCGTGCTGAATGAGCAACCAGAACCCAAAAGGTCGTATGTAGTATAAAGCCCCTACTGATACTAGCTTGAATCGTCTCGGGGGTATATCTATACGCACACACAGACTACCAAATGAAAAACGAAGCATCCCTAAGAATAGTACTGCAAGTTATTGAGGATTTACATTTCCGGGACGACGATGGATAAAGTCTTTTCCTGCATACTCTGCATCAGGCATGTCGTCGGCAGCCACTTTTTCCCGAACCCCTCGGGGAAAATCATGGCTTCGAATTCTATGCACATCAACTCGAAGGCCCTTGAGAGTATTTCTCTCCCTGCAGACCCTTTGGCCCCTAAACCCTGAACATCCCTGAACCCTAAACCTTCTCATGAGATCCTCTAAGCCTCAACCCCCGAAGCCTACATCCAGCAGCTAATCCCCACAGGCACCCTGAACCCTCAGCCTCTGAAGGCCTATAACCCCTAAACCCAGCAAGCCCTAAGCCCTCAACCAAAGGCCTGAACCCTTATTGAACCCTTCTTTTTTCTTTTATCCTTTAAGACTTAGAGGAACCTTTACAGGAACCCCATACCGCTTAAACCCTAAGCCCTTAACCCTTAAACCCTAATCCCTTAAACCCTTAAACCCTTAAACCCTTAACCCTAAACCCTAAACCCCTAAACCCTAAACCCCATACCGCTCAAACCTCAAGATCCTTCAAACCCGAAGCCCTCTCTTGAATTCCTTTCGAAGCGTCCGATCAGATAGGCTGGACAGAGTGGACAGAAGCCTCAGCTCCGAAATAAAAGCGGTTTGGGTTTTCGTTACTCCAAGGGTAAAAGGAGGGACCCGTAATAAGGACCCCTAGGTATATACCCTTAATATAGCTATTATATACCCTTTATATAGCCCATTATAGGGTAGGGTCCCGGGTCCCTCCTTTTCCCCTTTTGAGTTACAGCAACCCCCCATAAAATTGGAAACCGGACTAAGGCCAAATAGTGCTGGGATCCCCTTTACATTCCTTTTGAGGATTGAAGCTATTGGGTTTTCAACTTTTGGGCTTCTACCGTAATGGTTCCTTTGAAATGATCTATAAGTGCTCAATGATTCAATGTTTAGAGATTTAAAGTTTCGAGTTCAGGGTGTATGTTTTTTCTTTTAATGTGTCGGACTTTCTCCCGCAAGCGGCATCCAACCCACCCGGTGGGGCGCACACTGACAGTCACGAACGTGTTCATCCGTTGACCGAAAACAAAGACATTAAAGACACAGCGCTAGGGTGTATGGGTTTAGGGCTTCGAGTTTAGGGTACTTTAGGGGTTGAAAGAGTACAAATACACTCCATTGTAGTTCCTTTTTTTGGTTTAACCAATTATAGATTAAGGATCCTAAAAGGAAACCCCAAAAAGGAACTACAATGGAGACTAGAGGTAAGGCTTTAGGAGACTTTAGGGGGCGGCCTGCCTGCCGGGGCCCAAACCCTGAATCCGAACCCGGGCTCTGGCGCCGAACCCTGTAACAGTCCCGTAGTACTTGCGGGCCCAGGGGACTTAGTAAGTAGGTTATAAGTAGGGTTATAAGTACACTAAATGGAGTTACCCCGATTATTACCCTGCTTATAACCTACTTACCAAGTCCCCTGGGCCGCCAAGTAGGGGTCATCTTAAGGCTTACTTAGTTGCTGAGTTCATAATCCGAGCTTCTGATTAACAAAACCCCTCACATTTAACGAAATTTTTCGGCTCCGGAGTGGCTCCGAAGAGGCGTTTCCATTACGTGAGGATTTCGTCTGGAGAAAATCCCGCACATCTAAATTTTCTTTTCTGGTCAGGTGGTTTTAGTAGGGTCCAAAGCTCTGCACTGGCTCTTCATTTCTGCAACTGGAGCTGCTCGCCGATCTCCAGTCTGTTGGTGCAGCTAGCTTGAAACTTTTCTAATAGAGAGATTCAATACATTGCTATGGTTTTTAAAAGAGCCCAAAGAGCCCCAGCAACCCAGGGATGATTTGTCATTAATACGAAACCCGGAAATTTAATTCTGAAACATTTTTTTTTTGCGGGGGGGGCCCCCCTACTATTTAGAAGCTCGGATTAAGCCCAAAAGAATGTACACGTTCAGCATTTTTGTGGGTAATATTACCCCCAAGAGTGTAAAGTGTATCCACTCAGCTACTAAGGTTATATACGAGACTGTAGTATAACCATTTATAACTGTTGCAGCTGGGGGGGGCAGTACCCAATATGTGGGTGGTTGTCAAAATTAGGGTCCCTTTTTGGGTCCTTATTATATTACGGCATCTATTATTTAGGGTACCACAAAAGGGACCCTAATTTTGACCACCACCAATGTGGATACTTGGGTCTAGGATCAGCGGGTTGATGCAACAATGCTGTTGGACGGGCATGGAATTGGGTTTTGGGCCCATTATACTATAGTTAAAAGAAGGAACCCCCAAAATCGTATAGGTAACTATTATAATCCAAACTTGCTTTTCCAGTTCTAGAGGGGCTCGGCTGGGGAGAGCAGAACGAGAATGGCTTTACAGTTTAAGTCTAGTAACTAGGACGCGTAGACCCTACAGCACCCGAAACCCACACCGAAAAGGTAGACTACTGCACTGCACTCCCTACTGCACACACTAGCCTCTGAAGCTCTCAGTGGAAAAGGCTGTCAAACTTCAAGCCCCACTCCCCGAATGCAAAGTGCTCGAGCACCAAGGAGCATCAGTACGCGCTGCCCTTGCAGGCCACTGGTGCAAGCAGGGATCACCTGGGTGTTGATTGAAGACAAGGGATGGGCACAGCATCTCAAGATGGACGACTTCTAAGATCCTCAGAAGCCGCATGAAGCAGCTTCAAGCCCTTGTAGAAAGAAGCTAAAACCACACAGCCTTACAAAGCCCTTGTATAAATGTATAACCCATATAAACCGTATAGAACTCATGCAGGGCGCTACAAAGCCCCATATTGGGGACGTTCAAAGCCACAACAAACACAACAAAAGCAAAACCCTAAGGGTCCAAGTGCCCAATAATCATATACTCCCCCAAGTATTAACCTACATGGCTCCTATCCTAAACCCAAAGTACCTGATTATTGGGTCCTTTGGACCCTTGGGGAAAGCTTCAGCAACCTAGCAGCGGCATTGAAGCTGATGGTGTCCGGTAGAAGTGCATTCCTTGTCTGTGAACTGGGGTAGATGGCAGTTCCCGAAAATTAGGGGGTACCTTAGGGTTCCCTTAAAGGGGTCCTTAAAGGGATCTATAAGGGTTCTATAGTGGGGATTATTGTAGGGAGTTCCCGAAAATTAGGGGGGAACCTTAGGGTTCCCTTAAAGGGGTCCTTAAAGGGATCTATAAGGGTTCTATAGTGGGGATTATTGCAGGGGAGTTCCCGAAAATTAGGGGGTACCTTAGGGTTCCCTTAAAGGGGTCCTTAAAGGGATCTATAAGGGTTCTATAATGGGGATTATTGTAGGGGAGTTCCCGAAAATTAGGGGTACCTTGTTTTGGGGTCCTTGTAATATAACCCTAAGAGCCTAAGACTCCATTTGCCCATATAGAAGGTACTTGGGCCTGAAAGGGGTCCCTTTATAGGTACTTTAAGGCCAAAGGCCCTACTGTATGGGTACATGGAGCCTTTGCGGAAGGATCCTTCTATTTGGGCTACTACATTAGGATCCCCTGTTTTCGGAAACTCCCAGATTGGACGGGCTGGGCCTATGTCGAGGGTGGACCTTACGGCACCTACCTGATTTCAGCGTATGGCCAAACAGGCAGTGGATATTGCCTCGAAACAAAACACTATAATATCTTTTTTGTTTGGGGTAGAACCCTGTCCCCCACCACCCTAAACCCTAAATGGGAGTTTCCGAAAATAGGGGTACCTTATTTTGGGGTCCTTATAATGAGGATCCTATTATTTAGGGGACTATATTAGGGTCCCCTATTTTCGGAAACTCCCAAATCCTACCCCCTAAACCCTGAACCCTACACCCTAGAACCCTGTCCCCCACCATCCTAAACCCTATGAACCCTAAACCCTAAACCCTAAATCCTAGCCCCGAAACCTTCAGTCCAGCGCGCTCTGCCATCTCCTCGAAAAGGAAGACGGCCGCCTGCCACTGCCCTGCCCTCTCTGCCGAGCTAAGGACGGAGTTGAAGGAGACGAGACCTTAGAAAACGGGTTTAGGGTTTAGGACGCGACGGAATTGAAGGAGACGAGACCTTAGAAAACGGATTTAGGGTTTAGGACGCACATCGCAGGAAACAGGCTAGGGCCTTTATACAAGGATATCACAAAAAGATCAAGGATAGATGCCGTGACCGAAATAAGGAATCTTCGACCCTATAAAAACCCTAAACCCTGATAGATGCAGTGGCGGAACGAACCAATACCCCTGTCGGAACCCTTGAACGAACCCTTTGAGGAGCCCTTAAAGGAACCCTTGAAGGAACCCATGTCGGAACCCTTAAAGGTACCATAAGGCTGCATATGAACCCCTGTCGGAACCCTTAAAATGTGCCCTAAACAGGCTGCAAGCCTTAACGAAAGGACTGTAGGCCAAAAGGCTCGGCGAGATGCGGCTGTCCTTCATGGTATCGAAGAGGTGCCTCGGTTCCCCCACTCCCCCCTATTCCCCTTACCTATAGGATCACACCCTACTCTTTTTTAAGGTACCTACTCTTCTATATAGGAGGTCATAACTGTATGACTGGGTATCTTAAAACATGGGCAGGGTATGAACCACTAGGTACGTTATACCTGATGAACTAACCGTTTAAGGGCTTAGGGTTCAAACGCCCAAGGTGTGGGGTTTTGGGTGCTATGCCCTGCTATTTGAGGACTTTGACCCTGGTATACAGCTAACATGCACAAATAACCACAACAATACCAGTTACAGTGAACATCAATAAGCAAAACGGTCGTAGCAACCGTAGCAATAGTCATAAATCTTAATGAACACAAAGCAAGAATGAGAATGACATGGCACGCTTGTACACACTGAAAGCGTGCTACTAGCACCTAGGTGCACGCTCTCCTGCCAGAGAGAGGCATTTTCGCAGGAAGTGATGGTGGCGTTGAAACTAATCACCGTGGGGCTGGCCGCCGCTGCTGGCATCTCCGAAAAGAGACATAGAGCAGACTGCCACCGCGAGCACTTCTCGCAAGCAGAGATCGCTGCATTGAAGGCGACCGCGTGAGGGGCCACCCGAGTCAGCATAGTTTCCAACAGCGCGGTCGCCATCTGCCACTGCAGTGACTTTTCACAGGCACTGATGGCGGCACTAAAGCTGTATGCGTCGGGTATTGGGATTGACGAAAGCAGGTGGAGTGCGAGCTGCCATTCAAACCCCTTTTCGCAAGCACTGATGCAAGCGTTGATGCTGATTCTGTCTGGGGGTATCCTGGGTTCTAGAGAGTTTGTTTAATCTAAGATACCAAAACAAGGGAATCAATCGATTTACTGTAGATCCCCATGAGAGCCAAAAAACACAATTCCAACAAGAACCCGGTATCCGCGACACCGGCATGAGGGACAACAAGTGCACAGCCATCTGCCACTCGGAACTACTACCGCAAGCACTGATGCAGCTGTTGAACGAAATCAGATCCGGCTCTACAGCGCCTGAGGACATCGTTGCAAAGAGTTGTAGTGCCTTTGCCCAGAAAGAAGACTTCTCACAGGCACTGAGGGCTGCGTTGAAGCTGATCACGTTGGCATGCAGTCGTGCGCTCGGCATATCCCAAAGCAGCTGCAACGCCTCAGCTGCCGAGAAGCTAAGCCTAAAAGCTAGCACATTGCCCCGAATACCTTACCTTTGGTTAGTAGGGAATGGAGGAATGGGCTACAATTGTAAGTATTCTTACCACTATTCTTCCATTCCCTACTAACCAAAGGTAAGATACTTTGAAGTTGACAAAGCTGTCGAGAAGCCTGCTCCCATTGTGAGCACTTTTCGCAGGAGCTGATGGCTGCATCCATGCTGATGACATCAGGGGCTATCTCGGACGGCTGCATACTGCTCCTAGGCGGGCTGCTTGATACCGAGGCTTTACAATTTGGTACCTTGCTTCAGGCACCTTCGTAGTTTAAACTAGAGGGTCCTAGCCATAATATGGGAGTTTCCAAAAAATAGGAGGACCTGATTTGGGGGTCCTTATAACAAGGATTCTACTATTTGGGGTGCTATATCAGGGTCCCCTATTCTCGGAAACTCCCATATTGCGAACAGAAGCTACGAGATTCCCAGGTCTAGGCAGACTCTGGAACCTGCACAAGAACGAAGATCCTCATAGACCCAACAAGAGCTACAGTGGATCCCAGAAAGTTGGAACATGGATTAAGGATGATTAGTGCTAGGATTCCCTATACTTTACCTTTCGGGCATCAGGATATGATGTTCCAACTTTCTGGCTTCTACTGTAACCTATACATGAAAGATCCCACTGGCCGAATAGAGGCGAGCCTTGCTTCTAAGAAAGCAGTACAGGTAACAGCTCGAAGAAGACAAAGGCAAGGAGTAAATGCAATGGTACTACTATAAGTAAAGACAAGAGAATGACAATATTAGTAATACCAATGAATGACGACAACAACAACGACAACACCAATGACCAGAATAGGAATATAACAATAAACCAGTAGTATTTATAATGATAAGGACTGTAACATCAACAAACAACAGTCGTAGTCATCATGCGTATCAAGATAGCAAGAAAGTGTTCATGTTTGCAATGGCGATGCTGATAGTGGCAGTAACACAATCGTGTTAATGATATGCAACTGATACAATAGTATTGCACATGATAAGAGTAGCAATCACAACAGTAGTGACAGTAGCTTGTAGGAGCAATGATAAACCATTAGGAAGGATCCTATGAAAAGAAGGGGATACGCCTACAACTGATAACAACATTGCGAATACTTAAAGAATGAGAAGTTTAATGTTCAAGATAACGAAATCAAACAATAAAACCCATCACATTACCATCGTCTCCCACAACAAAAGCCAAACAACTCACACTTATTATTTGTAGTAGCCTAAAGGAACGGACAAGTGTTAACGTTATCCTGTAGGCTTTGTAAGATGACCTAGGTTCAGGAGCTGCAAGGCCACTCTCCACTGTCCGCCCCGTTCACATGCGCTGATGGAAGCGTTAAAGCTGACATCGTCGGAAGGGCACCGCCTTGGCCGAGCGAACTCTTCCCTGAATTATATAAAGTAGGAGCGTTTATAGTCTAGTTTGGAAATATAAGAAATGGAAGTGGTAGTCATTCCCTGGCTGACTGCTGAACCCCTCCTACAAGTTAAGCTTTTAGCCTCCTCATTACTGCTCATAAAGAAACCCAAACAGTTAAAGTCGTAAGAGCCAACCAGAAGAACGCCAAGATGCCGGTCGCTACACTTGCAGTTTGAAGTTGAAGCTTAACCCTATCCCTCCAGGGAGCTCATAGTTAGGGCCCTAAACCCCTTAAGGATCCCACAATAAGGTAATGTTTAGGCTCTGCACGACCAAGAGGCCGAAAGAGAGGAACCGAAACTCCAAATTCCAAGGGTCCGAAGAACTCAGACCCTAAACCCTAAACCCCTAAACCTATTAAACCCCTAAACCCTAAACCTTATAAACCCACAAACCTTATAAACCCCTAAACCCTAAAATCCTACCCTAAGCATCCTGGTATCTCTTTGAGAGGGTCAGGAAGCTCCGAAAGAGGGCCCTGGGATCATCTAGACTCCTATAGTACCAAGGAACCCTTCAAAGGAACCCTAAACCCTAAACCCCGATAGCACACTTGTAGAAAATCCAAATTATATTACCTTGCAACCCAAGCAACCCGTAAAGGAACCGTTCAAGGAACCCTATGAAGCCAAGCAGCCTTGAAGCCATGTGCTGAAGAAGATCAAGAGCCATTTCCCAGTAGCCTTCACTTCCACAAGCGCTCAAGCCCGCATTGAAGCTCACCTAGCTCAGAGCTTTGTGCTTTAGGGCGGGGATCAGGGGTTACTTGGGTACTTGCGCACATTTTGTTGAGAGCTTTGTGCTTTAGGGCTTAGGGTTCTGATCCGGGTCCGCCCCAAGTCACCTGGTTCGGGGTCACCGAAAGTGCGGCAGACGTGTTGAAAAGCAAGTACAGCGCCCGCTGCCATTGACCAGCCTTCTGCTGTCTGATTCTTAGTAGGGAAGCGTTTAAGGACTTAGGGTTTTAGGGTTTGGGACTACTACCGGGGACCTTCTTCTTCTTCTGCAGGCAACACAAGCTGGTTGCATTTCCCCTCGTCCAATAGGGCAAAAACAAACCCCGCAACCCTAAGTGCAGCTTGGACGGGCACTAAAAAGGGGCAGAAACACCGGACAAAGCGGGTGTATAGCCACCTTTTTGAGCACAGCTGCACACTCAGCGCAAAGAATGTTTCCAGAAGAAACCATGCGTCTTAAAAACGGCCCCAGCGAACCTCAGCAGCAGCGTGAAAGCAGGGCTTGAAGATTGAACCCAAATATCTGTAGGCAACAGCTTCCGGCCGAAAGCGTTCTCCAGATTCTCTCGCTCCTGACTAAATTGCTCACAGGAGAGCAAGATATGAAACCACAAAACCCCACGGCTGAACCTTCGGCCGCACGCAATGCAATGTAGCGAAGAAGCGCGAGAAACAGCTCCCTGAACATGACCAAGCATTAACAATCCAGCCCGAAATTTGGCCAGAGCCAGGGTGTGCTTGAGCATTTCCCAAGCCAGATCAAGCTGAACCAAGCAAGAAGGAGACGAAGGGAAAGAAAAGTATTGAACAGGCGACCTGTGCGAGGCCACTTCTGTCAACCACCGCGTCTGGCACGAGATGGTCAACTGTAATTTGCAATAGTCTCTGTATGCAGCCTGGGTCCGTTGCGCAAGGGGCTGCTGGCAAGACCAAGCCGGCCAGTCAAGGATCCCCCATTCCGCCAAGAGACTCTTGGATCGGCACGCCCAAGATACAGGTCTGCCACTGCAGACTTGAAAGAAAATGCCAGCTAAACTATCTGCTTTTACCTGCCAAAGCCTCGCCCGGGCACAAGCCACGTCCAGGACACAGAGTGCAGAACCAGAGAGACACCAGCCCAACTCAGCAACAACAACTGCTGAGTTCCGCCAAGAATCTGCCCCCAGAAGGATTTTGGCCCACGCAACAAAAGCATTGTCCAGAGCAGTTCTTGCTGTCGCCGAGATACCCCACAACCACCTACCAAACCTCAAACAAGATTCAACCTTCAAATCGAACAGGCATAAAGCATATGGCAGCGGCACAGTCCCAGAAGCTATGAGGCCTCCAAGCACTGCAACCTTAGAGTCCTGCGATGCGATGAGCGCGCAAGCATGACTATGCAGTTCCATTTCTCCATCCCATAGAATGCCCAACCACTTGTGGCTGCAAACAACCGAAAGAGCAACAGGATCCCTTGTGTGAAAAGCCTGGTAAAGAAAGGAAGCATGCCTGAAAATATGGTCATGTTGTTCACGGCTTCCAACGGGCAGAATAACAGACTTAGAAACAGTGCAGTGCAGAGATGTCTTGTATTTCTTCGACCAGGCGGCAATGATACGAATCATACGCCTCATTTCTCCCACGCTACTTGCCAGGAAGATTGGGTCGTCTGCGTGTAAGAGAATTGGAACCCTCCATGAATCAAACAGGTCCAGAGCCCGGGCAGCGCTGGCTTCCAGAACGGCATCTGCACTCAAATTTTGCGCGGTGGGCAAGATTTGCCCGGCCCGCAGTGCAAACAAGAGATTCTGTGTGAGGGATGGGTCTGGGGTACCACAACCACTCCAAATGTGGGAGCGCCAAGGAGCTGGCATATCTGCGCGAAATGCAACCCCACACCGTTCCTCCAACAGCATGGCCACCAAAGTGTCAGGGAGAAAGTTAAAGCAGGGGGGGCCAATCCTGCACCCTTCGGGTACACCACAGGAAACCTTTTCCCAAGAGATCCCACTAAAAGGAATGAGCCACTCATCCGAAGCAAGAAAAGAATGAAAAAGTGACATGGCACCGCCTTTAATGCCTGCCGTGTCATGAACAGCATTAGTCAAAAAAGCTCTCCATGTACGAGGAAAAGCTTTCACGAGGTCAGCCATGAAGATGAAAAGCGGTTGTGTGCGAGACAAAAATAGGCTGCTGAGCTCATATAAGCAAAGATGCGGATCAGCCACATCTCTCATAAATCCAGACTGAAAACATGAAATGGCCCCCTGCATGCGAGACTGTACTCGCGAAAAAAGAATATGCTCCTGCAAAAGGCCATGTTGCTGCATCACCGAAATGAGTCGGTAACTATAGGCAGAATCATACCGTCCCTTCTTGTATAATGCAGAAAGTCTCTTCCATCGCCAAACATTTGGACGAATAGCCAAGCAACCCGGTCCACAAAGCCTCATACACAACCAAGCTGAAGTGCTCCACAACACCCCTGCTAATTCGAAGACGCATCTGGGGAGAAGGTCAGGAGTAACTGCAACAGAAGAATCCCAACAACTAGTTCCATGCACCCAGTCAACTTGCGAAATGGGCCCGTCTGCAGCATCGGATCCGACGGCACGTCTTTCCATTCCCAAGATGCCAGCCGCTTTGCGCTCTACTTGCTGATGAAAAGAAATATCCCAACCCTCTGGAATCGGATAGCCGAGATCCACTGTTGATGACTGTCTCCTATCGAGAGACTTTCCCCAGACGAAGGATCTGCAAGCTGCAAAGGTGGCGAAGGCAAAACTGGTCTAAGCCATCTTAAGCATGCGTTAACAATGGGCTCCGGCGCCGAGGCTCTTAATTTATCTGCAAGCCAAGATTCAGATGCTTCCGATCTCTGCCCTTGCGGCCCAAGAGTCAAGGAAGAACGACCACTGGAGAATTTTCTCCGTTTTGCAGCTGGAATTTGAGCAGCCAAGACCCATCCATCACGGACTAACCCTTCTATGGTAGCCAAGATACAGGCCGAGGCGTTTGCTAGCCAGTGGGCTAGATGCTTTCCGGGTCTTTGGCTGGCATCTGCACTTTCAATATGCACACACAGGGGCTCTAGGATATCATTCAAACACTGGCACACGTCCTTTGCTTCTTGGAAGCCCTGAAACCACCGTTGCTGATCATCCCATCCATTTGGAGGCGAAATACTTCCACGTGAAGGTGGCAAAATACTTAAATGTGGCAACTGAACATCAATAAGGAAGTGGTCTCCGGCGGTGTACTCATGGCAGAGGTTCCAAGGACACCCCAGCTCTTTACAGTGCAGCGAGTTATGAATGCGCATGTCAGCAACCAAAGAGGAAGAAGAAAAAACCAGGTCTAAAGCACGGGACCCACCAAGATGCGAATGATGTGTATGCGATGGCAAAACCGAGATAAATCTATTTCGAATCGGCAGTGACACCTTGCACGGCTGAATCGATGTAAACCGAGGGTTGCAAAGCGTCAGATCGAAACGGGCTTGTAGCTTCCGGAGGTGTGCATCTCGCTGTGGCTTCTTGTCAACTCCATGTCCTAAAACTTCAGGTTGTACGTTGGCATCTCCTGAAAGCAAAACTGGTATACCAGGATACCTACAGGCCAAATGTTCCAAATCAGCTTGGATGCCAAATACCTCATCCTGCCAAGCATCATCCGGACCACTTTCCGGTGCTGGAGGTAAATAAAAAACCAACCAAAACAACTTTTTATCTCCTATAGCTTTCACCTCTAACCACAATCGCCGATCGCTTCCAATGTTCGGGACCACAGAAAAACAAGATTGAAATTTAGTCTGGATCAAGACAGCAACGCTTGCATATGATGGACCACCCCTGGAAATCGCAAAACAACCCAGTGAAGAAGGAAGTACAAAATCACTGCGCAGGCGCGCCCCAGGCAGTCCAACAGCGTGGAGGTCTAGTTGTCTCATAGCTTGCACAATTGAGGTTTGCGATGTAAACATGGGTTGGAAAAGAAGACAAGATCCCGAAACATCCACGCACCCTGTAAGCCCTGGTGAACCACAACCAAGCTTCAATGGATGTTGCTCCAGTGACTCGTTAGGTGAAGTGAAGTCACAGTCACCAATGGCTTCCAGCTGTTTTCGAATTGCAGAACGACAGCACATCAATGCTGCTTTCAAGTTGTCGTATCCGCTCGACAGAGATGCAGGATGGTTGCCAGCCTCCACCTGATTGAGCAACCCCGTTTGCAGACAGGACTGCGTGATGGTTTCCTCCAACTTGATCCAGCAAGCCCGCACCAGGCAGCAGGACAAACCGATGACATTCGTCTTAATACGGGCTATGCAACGCGAGCTGAGGTCCCAGATGCAGTCTGCCAAACACCTTGATGTCATGGCTTCTAAAGAAAGATCGGCTACCACCTTCCTGGATCTCGAACCTTGAGCCAAAATGGCTATACAAATCCATTCCCCAAGGGTCCAAGCACCCAATAATCATATACTCTCCAAAATCCTAACCTACATAACTACTATCCTAAAGCCGAGTACCTGATGATTGTGTCCTTTGGACCCTTGGGGATTCCCCATTCCCTACTTGGAGGGTCGGGGGACTTAGTAACTGGGTAGTTTAGGGGCTTATAAGTACCATCACGCCAATTAAGGTCCCTTTTAGGGTACTTATAAGTCTACTTACTACCCAGTTACTACGTCCCCCGACCCTCCAAGTACTGAGAACCAGCCTTCTAAACCCTAAGCTCCATTCCCTACTAAGAACCAGCCTTCTGGCATGCGCTCATCGCGGAGCTCAGGCTGTAGACATCGGGAGTTGCCTGGTATCCAGAAACTCCAAGACCGCTCCTTTAAGGGAAACTAAAGGGCTTCCTTACAGGGCTCCTTTAAGGGATCTGTAGGGGTTCCGTAGGGGTTTAGGGTTTAGGGTTCGGTGAAACATCTGGGGTTTCCTTAAAAAGGGCCTTTAGGGGATCTAAATGGGGGCTAGTACCGAGGACAATGGTTGAGGGTTCCTTAAAGGGACCTATAGGGTACCTTTAAGGGGTTCCTTTAAGGAATCTATAGGGCTTCAGGATTTATTACTTGATGATACTGTGCCTTCCCAAAGGGTCCTAGGCACTGTTACTGGGAATACTTCCCCAAATCATAATAGTAATTCCTAATATAGAAACCCTACATTCTACCATATAGGTATTTTGGACCCTTTGGGGTATAGAATAGGGCCCCTGCCTGCCTGCCTGTCTGTCGCTGTCTGTTTGAGTTTATGTACGTGTATGTATGGATACATGTATACATGGATGGACCCTCTTGATTACCCATAGGCTCTAAGGACTCATATCTTAAGGCTTTTGGGCCCAAAGACCATACACTATATAAGGCCTTTGGGCTATTTTGACCTAGGATTAGAGTGCTTCGCTGAGTTGTCCTTTGAGCCAATTGATAATTATGTACTACTACGGTTCTCTACAAAATCG